ACATACTCCGCAGCTTTATACGCTAGTTACCACTTGATAGTACACGTTTCATGGGCTATAAAGTAATGACTGGCTTATCATGATACGCAAACGGGGAATTTTCGCAGAAAACATGAAAGGTAAGATCACCGAAGAAAATTTCTGCAAAGGCCCAAGATCTCCCTGCACCGTCAATCACCTCCATCAATGGGAAAATATGACCTGGATGAGATTGAACATGATAGCTTGTATAACAGAACTATAAAAAGAGCTAGTACTGTTAATCAATCAAAGAAAAATCAAAATTAGCAAATAGTTGCTGATCCGCCTCTGTTATGATATGTTTATCCTTCGCAGATGAAAAACGGGGCTTCTCCTTGGTAAATTCGTCGTCAAAGTTCGAGACATCCTCCGGATTTTTCTAAAGCAGAGAGTTAAATGAAACAAGATTAATGCCTAAAAACGCGAGAATGCGTGTCTTATTCAAATACATTAGTCGACTATAACATTTCTATAATATGGACAACTGTGATCTGGTATCTAAAAGCAAAGCTCCAAATCAGACTTCTTTCCTCTGTTATAGATTTCCTAATCAAGCATGAGCGCTTTTTTCAACGACGCAGATATAACAAGCAGACTCACTTGAGGATATAGGAAGTTTTGATGTGTGACATGCAATAAAAGATGATTGGTTGCATGAAGTTATACAAGTTTGGCGTGACTTTGAAGAATGAAATAAATAAAAAAAATATAAATGAGCTTACTATTTGAGGTAAGAACTGCGGCTTTATCTCCTTCCGAAGAAGACGGTCCCACGCCCAGTCTATGTGCTGAAACACTCATGTACTATTTAACAAGGAAAACAAAAATAAGTAAACTCAAAGGTAAAAAAAGGATAGAAAAATGGCAGTTTCAAGACCATTTCAACCTCTTGTGAAATGGCTTAAATCTTTGGAGATTGAGAATTGAGAACGAACGCAGTTAAGCTCAGTTAACGTAAGAAACGAAACAGAAAGCTCAATGAGCTTATAAGCATGTCTTTTTATTGTCATTTTGGTGTTTGAAAAAGCTAGGATCGCGTCAAGTATTCAACAGGAAAAAAAACTGACGACTGCGCAAGAAAAGTAAGAAGTACATTTTTAAGCACATTGGCTAATATTCCTCCAATTCCGCTGATTTGGGAGGCGAATATCAACATGACATATAACCACCAAGCATACTTGCCACATATGAACAATGCCCGTCATACCTTGAAGAACCGTTGATCCTTGACTTCTTCAGCATCTTTCTCACCAGCCCCTAGTCGTTTCTCAGGATTCTTTCTCATGAGCTAAATGAGGAAGATTTA